TGCACTTTTTGGTACATAATCACACTTGACAACTACTGTTTGTAACAGTAGAGTGCAAACATCATCACTGAAATAGAAAATTTCGATTAGCAATGACCACTATTGGGAAGATAGAGCGTTTTGATGACACAAGAGAACTGGGAAACCTATGTGGAACGAGTAAAACAGTTTTTCTTGGCGAAAGACATCGATGATGACCATTAAGTGCCAACTTTGTTGATTGTTGAGCCTGATCGGCGGGAAAACCTACACTCTGCTGAGAGATCTTCTTGCACTGGAGAGGCCAGCTACAAAGTCCTTTCAACAGATAGTTACCACTCTCCAGGAGCATTTCAGCCCGAAGCCCTTGGAAATTGCGGAAAGATTTCGTTTCTACAAGAGAAACCAACATGAAGGAGAAAGCATTTTGTCTTACGTGGCCGAGCTAAGGAAGCTTGCGACACACTGTAATTTTGGCGGGAATCTGAACGAAGCGCTACGAGATAGACTGGTCTGTGGACTTCGAAATATGCAGATCCAAAAGCGATTACTGTCAGAAGCCAAACTGAAGTATTCCAAGCTGTCGAGATTGCTGTAGCAATGGAAACTGCCATCCGAGATGCTTCAGAATTACAAAGTGAGCCCAGTCCCTCACGTTGACAAGTTGACTGAACACAACAAACCAACATCAGCGAAACCGGCGACCAACCCCCCTTGCTACCGCTGTGGTGGGAACAGACATATGACACATTTTTTTTTACAAGGACCAGATCTGGCACCACTGTGGAAAACAGGGCCATATCCAGAGAGTTTGTCGTTCCAAACAGTAAGGCAAACCTAAGCAAGCAACCAAAACCCCAGAGGTACATGCTGTTGAGGTTGATGTTGATGTTGATGCATATGAAGACATATTTGCCACCTTCGAGGTATACAATGTGAGGAAACAGAGCAATGATATTATCTGGGTTGATTTGGATGTTGATGGTAAACCACTTAAGATGGAACTGGACACAGGTTCGGCTGTGTCGATCATCTCGTTTGACCTCTACGAGAAGAAATTTAATAGGCTTCCCCTGCACAAAACTGGACTGTCCTTGAAAACCTACACCGGGGAAAGCATTATGCCAGTGGGAGTGTTCAAAGTACCCGTGGATTACCAAAACAAGGGAGGTGCTGGACCTGTACGTTGTCAAGAACAAGGGGCCTGTTCTAATGGGAAGAGATTGGTTACGCACCATACGCCTTGACTGGTTTTCTATCAAGTCGCTGCAGGCTTTACTAGCTGCCTCAAGTCCTAAAGAGCGTTTGGACATTATGCTAGACAATTACTCAGATGTTTTTGAAAATTAACTGGGCACCTTTACATCAGCCAAAGCGAAGTTAACTCTTAAAGACGACAGCCAAGCACGCTTCCTCACCGATGCCGTATACATTAAAGCCGAAGGTGGAGGAGGAACTGCGGAGACTCCAGAATGAAGGTATTCTCACTAAAGTGGAGTGGAGTGAATGGGCCAGACCGATTGTGCCTGTCCCCAAGAAAGATAGTTCCGTCAGACTTTGTGGTGATTACAAGATCACAGTGAATCCAGAACTACAAGCAGTAGTAGCAGTACCCTCTTCCTCGCATTGAAGACATCTTTGCAAACCTTGCTGGTGGGCAAAAATTCTCAAAGATTGACCTCCGCCAAGCATATCACCAAATAGAGAAGGAAGAAGATTCAAAGAAATACCTCACAATCAACACCCATATGGGACTGTTTCAGTACAACCGACTAGTGTTTGGCATCACCTCTGCACCTGCTATCTGGTAGCGCACCATTGATCAAGTGTTAGAAGGAACGTCTAGAACAAGCTGTATCCTTGATGATATGATCATCACTGGAAAGAATGATGATGAACATCTTGCCAACCTAGAAGAAGTTTTAGGTCGCTTACAGGCTCATGGGTTAAGAGCAAACAAGACAAAGTGCGAGTTTTTCAAAGAGGAGATAACCTCCTGTGGACATGATATTGACAATCAAGGTCTCCACAAGTCACCAGAGAAAGTGGAAGCAGTTTTGAAAGCGCCTCGCCCATGCAATGTAGCTGAACTGAGGTCAGTTAATTACTACAACAGATTCTTGCCCAATTTGTCAACAGTAGTACACCCTTTGAACCAGTTGTTAGAGAACAACCATCAATGGAAATGGACGGAACAATGCGAAACAGCATTCTACAACGTGAAAGAAATGATCACCTCAGAGCAAGTATTAACACACTATGATCCCAGTCTGCCACTGAGGCTTGCTTGTGATGCATCAATTGTCATTTTTGTTATTGTCTTTTTGTGGGGGGTCCGTAAAGGAGTGGGGGGGGGGGGGGGGTCTTTGGACCAGGTCCGTAGGGAGGGCCTTGGACTGGGGGGCGGTGTTTTTTGGTCACCCAAACTTGGGTGTTGCCTCCGACAGGTTTTTACGCGGTCATTACAGAGTAAGCCTAACACTTCTCAGTATACTTGCATACATCTTAATGAAGAAACGAAATAAGAAATACGTGTATCGCAGAACCTCGCGAAGCTCGGGGGGGAGCCCATAAGGGGTGGGAGAACAGGAGAGAAATGAAGTAAATCATGTAACTGGGGAGGGCGGGTCTTATATTGGAAGTTGAGATGTACTTAATCTCCTGTGGATTAAATTTGAACCTAGTGTTCTGGCTTTAAAAAGGACCTTCTGAGATTTAAATGGGGCTTCTGTTGTTAGCGAATGCTGCTAGGTCCCATCCTATGTTCACCCGATTTGAACCTCCTACATGTGTAATTATGGTCAAAAGGAAGTGGGGGTGATAGTGGATAACTGCCCGCTAACATGCAGCTGTAATAATTATTTTTGAAATGTGTCAGTAGTAGTGAGTGGATGGCAATGCTAGGAGATAATGCTGCAGTGAAAACAACGACCAAATGCTGGTAATCAGAGAAAAATTTATTGTTAGGTGAATTACAGCTATAAAGTTGCACTTTTTGGTACATAATCACACTTGACAACTACTGTTTGTAACAGTAGAGTGCAAACATCATCACTGAAATAGAAAATTTCGATTAGCAATGACCACTATTGGGAAGATAGAGCGTTTTGATGACACAAGAGAACTGGGAAACCTATGTGGAACGAGTAAAACAGTTTTTCTTGGCGAAAGACATCGATGATGACCATTAAGTGCCAACTTTGTTGATTGTTGAGCCTGATCGGCGGGAAAACCTACACTCTGCTGAGAGATCTTCTTGCACTGGAGAGGCCAGCTACAAAGTCCTTTCAACAGATAGTTACCACTCTCCAGGAGCATTTCAGCCCGAAGCCCTTGGAAATTGCGGAAAGATTTCGTTTCTACAAGAGAAACCAACATGAAGGAGAAAGCATTTTGTCTTACGTGGCCGAGCTAAGGAAGCTTGCGACACACTGTAATTTTGGCGGGAATCTGAACGAAGCGCTACGAGATAGACTGGTCTGTGGACTTCGAAATATGCAGATCCAAAAGCGATTACTGTCAGAAGCCAAACTGAAGTATTCCAAGCTGTCGAGATTGCTGTAGCAATGGAAACTGCCATCCGAGATGCTTCAGAATTACAAAGTGAGCCCAGTCCCTCACGTTGACAAGTTGACTGAACACAACAAACCAACATCAGCGAAACCGGCGACCAACCCCCCTTGCTACCGCTGTGGTGGGAACAGACATATGACACATTTTTTTTTACAAGGACCAGATCTGGCACCACTGTGGAAAACAGGGCCATATCCAGAGAGTTTGTCGTTCCAAACAGCAAGGCAAACCTAAGCAAGCAACCAAAACCCCAGAGGTACATGCCGTTGAGGTTGATGTTGATGTTGATGCATATGAAGACATATTTGCCACCTTCGAGGTACACAATGTGAGGAAACAGAGCAATGATATTATCTGGGTTGATTTGGATGTTGATGGTAAACCACTTAAGATGGAACTGGACACAGGTTCGGCTGTGTCGATCATCTCGTTTGACCTCTACGAGAAGAAATTTAATAGGCTTCCCCTGCACAAAACTGGACTGTCCTTGAAAACCTACACCGGGGAAAGCATTATGCCAGTGGGAGTGTTCAAAGTACCCGTGGATTACCAAAACAAGGGAGGTGCTGGACCTGTACGTTGTCAAGAACAAGGGGCCTGTTCTAATGGGAAGAGATTGGTTACGCACCATACGCCTTGACTGGTTTTCTATCAAGTCGCTGCAGGCTTTACTAGCTGCCTCAAGTCCTAAAGAGCGTTTGGACATTATGCTAGACAATTACTCAGATGTTTTTGAAAATTAACTGGGCACCTTTACATCAGCCAAAGCGAAGTTAACTCTTAAAGACGACAGCCAAGCACGCTTCCTCACCGATGCCGTATACATTAAAGCCGAAGGTGGAGGAGGAACTGCGGAGACTCCAGAATGAAGGTATTCTCACTAAAGTGGAGTGGAGTGAATGGGCCAGACCGATTGTGCCTGTCCCCAAGAAAGATGGTTCCGTCAGACTTTGTGGTGATTACAAGATCACAGTGAATCCAGAACTACAAGCAGTAGTAGCAGTACCCTCTTCCTCGCATTGAAGACATCTTTGCAAACCTTGCTGGTGGGCAAAAATTCTCAAAGATTGACCTCCGCCAAGCATATCACCAAATAGAGAAGGAAGAAGATTCAAAGAAATACCTCACAATCAACACCCATATGGGACTGTTTCAGTACAACCGACTAGTGTTTGGCATCACCTCTGCACCTGCTATCTGGTAGCGCACCATTGATCAAGTGTTAGAAGGAACGTCTAGAACAAGCTGTATCCTTGATGATATGATCATCACTGGAAAGAATGATGATGAACATCTTGCCAACCTAGAAGAAGTTTTAGGTCGCTTACAGGCTCATGGGTTAAGAGCAAACAAGACAAAGTGCGAGTTTTTCAAAGAGGAGATAACCTCCTGTGGACATGATATTGACAATCAAGGTCTCCACAAGTCACCAGAGAAAGTGGAAGCAGTTTTGAAAGCGCCTCGCCCATGCAATGTAGCTGAACTGAGGTCAGTTAATTACTACAACAGATTCTTGCCCAATTTGTCAACAGTAGTACACCCTTTGAACCAGTTGTTAGAGAACAACCATCAATGGAAATGGACGGAACAATGCGAAACAGCATTCTACAACGTGAAAGAAATGATCACCTCAGAGCAAGTATTAACACACTATGATCCCAGTCTGCCACTGAGGCTTGCTTGTGATGCATCCCCTGTGGGAATTGGTGCTGTGCTATCCCGCGTGGTGAATGATGGGACTGAGCGACCCATTGCTTTTGCTTCCAGGACACTCACAAAAACTGAGCAAGGGTACGCGCAAATTGACAAAGAAGCTTTGGCAATTATCTGGGGAGTCAAGAAGTTCCATGTGTATTTGTTTGGCTGATCTTTCACCCTGTACACCGATCTTCAGCCGTTAACATCCATCTTCCATCTACACAAGAGCGTTCCAGTGGTTACGGCAGCCCGGCTCCAGCGCTATGCATTATTCTTGGCTGGATATGACTACCAAATCGAGTACAAGAACACTTAAGTGCACAGCAATGCAGATGGCCTTTCCCGGCTGCCACTGAAAGTGCCCATCAACTAAAATTTTTTATTTTCTCACCTGAAACTACACCTTATGAAAATAACTTTTGCGAAAAAAATTTTCGATTTATACCAAGGACGATTTTTTTCGAATTTTTTAAAAAACTTTCAAATTTGCCGCGATTTTGGCACCCCATTCGTCTTAGTCTTCTCTCGAAGTATGACGTCTTGTGACGTACTTTAAGGAACACGTGACTTTATCGACAGGATAACATTAAGAGTTCTGGTAGGTTTTTCTGTTTCAGAAAAACTTTCTTCTTGCGAAGACATTGTGATTCAATCCTTACTTGTAATTAATCTTTTTTGTGTACAGCTGATGAAGGCAAGGTAATGCAAGTTCCTTAATTTACGTCACATGACGTCATATGTGAGCCTGCTAGTTTGCGTGATCAGCGGCGTGGGTGTACCGCAAAAATGTAGACTTCAAAAATTGGTAAAAAAATCGCGTTTTGTTCAAATCGCAAAATTTTTTCGCAGAAGTTATTTTAATAAGGTACGGTTTTAGTTAAGAAAATAAAAAATTTTAGGTGATGGGCACTTTCAAACCGAAGAGAGAGCAGAAGAAGTTGTGGATCCAGTAAATGTTATCAATATGATGTAGTTTGAGCCGTTACCAATCACAGTTGACAACGTCCAAAGAGAAAACCAAAGGGACCCTGTCTTGAGTAAAGTCCATGAGATGGTGACTAAAGGATGGCTAAGCAGCCATGTTCCTGTACTGGACCCCTTCTACGCTCGCAGGGATGAGATAACATTACACTCAGGCTGTTTGACGTGGGGAACCAGAGTCATAGTGCTTGAAGAACTCCATCAAGGACATCTTGGAGTGGTGAAGATGAAGGCCCTAGCAAGAAGCTACATCTGGTGGCCAGGGATCGACAAGGAAATTGAGGAAACCGCGAAGACTTGCTCGGGTTGCCAGCTAATGCAGGCTGAACCTAGTACTGCACTTGTACATCCATGGGAATGGTCATCGTCACCCTGGCAACGAATCCATATTGATTTTGCCGGACCTTTCCTCGGCTGCATGTTTTTGATTGTCGTGGATGCCCATTCTAGATGGTTGGAAATAGAGAAAATGGACACTACGACCTCAACCAAAACTATCGAGAAACTGTAGAGCTTATTTGCTAGATATGGTGTGCTATCCATCGCTCTCAGATGTTCCTCAAGAGAAATGGAATCAAACATCTGACATCTGCTGCATACCATCCTACCAGCAATGGTCTAGCCGAACGCTGTGTGCAGAGTTTCAAATCAGCCATGAAAAGTGAAACGGAAGTAAAACCTGTGAACATTAAGCTGGTAACGTTCTTGCTAGCTTACAGAAATACCTCTCATTCAACCACCGGAGAAGGACCATCTCAGCTATTTTTGGGAAGACGATTACGCACTCGACTGGACTTGTTGAAAGCAGATCTCCGCTTGAAGATAAGCAACCGTCAGATAGACCAAACCGTCAAGAAGGGTGGTGCTGTAACCAGAGAATTCTCCATCGGTCAGACAGTGATAGCACGAAATTACACTGGTAGTACAAAGTGGGTACCTAGAGTCAAGTGAACACTTTCTCTGTATTACATGCATTTACCGTGAATGTAAAGCTAAGTGCAGGATGGATTGATCTTATGGGAAACCCTATATAAATATCTGGTTGCTTGTCGTTTAATTTCTTGAAACAATCTTCTTCTGCCAATGGAACAAATGTTTTATTTCTGTGAATATGTCACCTCTCTCTGACTTCTTTGAAAGAGTGAAATTTTATGAGTGACCTCTTAAATTTTCCCTAACAGCGAAAGGAATTAACGTTCCTGGCATTGCAACCATGTCACACACTAATATTCTGAGGATATCCGAAATGCGATGTTCTTTTCGAATAACAGGAACGAAAATATAGGAGGCCAGCAATAACAAATTTTTATCATGTTTGACAAAGACACAACTGTGTTTATGTATAAGGCTGCTATACATCCATATATTAGTTACTTGGAAGGAAACTGAATGAAAGTTGTAAGCTTAAACGAACAATTTTGTTCAGTAAGGATTTTGTTTACAAAGGTAACGCTTCCCTACATGTCACACATTATCGGTGTTCTAAACTGTTCATTGTAAAATAAAGCTTACTGTAAAACGGTGAAAAGGCTGATCGGCCGTCCTCAGTCCGTTAGAAACATACTCCTCATGTCGATTTTACAGATGGTGTAATTCTTTCTTCCTATCGTTGCATCGAAGAAGATAGTTTTGACTGTAAACTTGCCTCTCTTCGGTTTGGTTGCAAATTCTATTGACCGCATTTTGCTGAAACGTCGGCAGTCGGTGTTCCCTCACTTCGTCGGCTTCGTTTGCAGTGTAATTGTAGTATTTTGTTGCTACCTCTTTACATATTCGTGGTCGCTGTATAGCCTCTGTCTTTAGTTGATAGTGTTTGCCTGCGCTCTGCTGTTGCTCGCGCTTAATTTAAAGTCCACTTTCACGCTTGGGCGGAGTTTTGTTTGTAAATCTTTCCCAGCGAGGATTTCCAGCGACTTGTTGAATCCACCGTTGCTGAGTTTCCTGTTCTCTTTTATTTGCCTGAGATATCGGGTGGTGATTCACCGACCGTAAAGATTGTTATAATTCACAGATGAAAAAAACTGTCACCGTGAATAAAACCCGGAGCTTTGCATCGATGGCAATCGGGTGCTGGAAACCCATAATGCACTTTGACGTCACTACTTTGGCTTTGGCTTTTATATAGCCAAGAGAAAATCACCCTAGTCTTGCGATGCTCGTGAAATACACGCGCGCTTGGCGCGCGCGACGAGATCATAAACCTCGCAACTCGCGAGGAATAACTACAAAACAGCTCATCTATAACAGATTTTCGTAACCAACCTCAGTTCAACAAGATGGCAAAATTATAACGGAGAAAATTGATACGAATA